GTTGTTGTTGTTTGAAGGCAACGGTGAGTAGCTGCATGGACCCAGAATTAGTTAGGTTAGTGCTGCAGATCCATGCATGATACATATATAAATTTGCATATGTTGTACATGGCATACCCTATACATACGTACACTAAGGCTCCAAAGTGTACGTAGTAGTACTCCAAATACATACATGTGTAAAAGTACACCTGGTGACATCCACTATTTACATATAATGATTTGACCAGAAATTTGCAAATCAAAAAGTTGTATAAATATCTTTGATCTTAAGGTACAATGATTCATCACAAATCAGAAAAACTTTGTTGAAGCAATGTTTCAGAATATAATATATATATATGGCTAATAATTATGTGTCTGAAAGAAGTCACAGCTGTGCATTGGAACCAATTAAATTCAAACCTCTTGTATGCTACTCCTGTTTTCCTCAAAATATACGACAATGAGTTTTAAGATCCAACTCGTGAACTTGCACGCACATCATGTCGTTTCAGGAGTATATAGTATATACGCAATGGCCTGCATACATAATATTGCGTATTAATTTGTAGGATTAATTTAAAAATTCCTCTTCAATTATAGCATTTTTTAACATTTTATCATTTAAATTTTAAAAAGTAACATCTGTTATTTTTGAACTTTATTCCGTTAATAAGTTTTCCTTTTCTATTACAATAAGTGACATAATTATTACGTGTCACTTATTTAGTGAGAATTAAAAGTGTAATTACGTTTATACCCTCCTAATCAGATAATTCTCTATTTTATTGAAAAAATTCATCATCTTTGTTCCCCATTTTCTTTCTTCTTTTCCTCATTTTGTTCCCCATTTTCCTTCTTTTTTTTCTCATTTTGTTCCCCATTTTCCTTCCTTTTTTTCCTCATTTTGTTCATCGATGTGACCGATTCAACCATGTGCTTATTGGTCATGGATGGTCAGGCATAAGACCCACTGACTCTTTCTCCGATGACTCAAACTCAAACTCAAATTCAAAAAATACAAAAAATTCCAACATTCGACCCATGAAGATCAAAACAACTCCTCCATTTCCACTTTTTCAGCCTCTGATTAGTGCATGAAAATGCATCATAAATACTACTTTTGATTTATATAATATTAAAATATTTAAGCTTTAATTAAGCAATTTCATTATTTTTATTCATAATATTTTAATTAGAATTTGTCTAGTTTTTGCTTAATTATTTACAGATAAAAAGTAGTATAAAAAGCTATACAAAAATAAGCCATGAAAGCCATGTTTTCAACCACCCGGAGCCAAGCCTCAACCGAGCCGCACAAGCCAATCAGAGAGAGAGAGAGAGAGAGCCGAGCAGCTTAGCCGAGCCAACATCAGTCCGCGTGGGCCCCAGCATTTCCAGCGTTTCCTCACAATTCCTCGCACGCGTCACCAGCACATCCATCTTCAGCGCGCGTGTTTCCCTCCACGCAGCTTCAGTGCGCATCCAACTCCACCGCAGTGTAGGTCCCGCGTCTACAGCCATCAGCCGGCCTTCCTTTCCACGTGTGACAACTGTCTCAGTGGACCCCAGCTCTCCTGCTCCGCCAGCGCTTTTCCTCTTCTCCATGGCGACACGTGGAAATTGAGTCCACTTCCTCCAATCTCGTTGCGACACGTGTCTAGAGGGGCTGGATCTGAATTTCTCCTTCAAAAAATCAGAGCAAATGGCCGGATTTCTTTCCCAAATTAAATATATGATTTCTTATTATTTGTGTGTAATTTTATTTTGTTTCCTTTTCTTTTGTAATTTTCTAGTTTTACTATTTATTTTCTTATTTGACAGGCAACCTCTGAACACTATAAATAAAGGGGTTAGCCTTAGGTTTTAAGAAGTTTTTGAATATTCATTTTTTTGTCGTCTTGCTGTCAGTCTCATATTTTCTCTCTAGAACTTGTGAGAATGTTTTGCAAGATAGGCTAGAGTTTTCTTGGTGAGGTTAGAGATGAACTTCTGTTGAGCGACCCAATTTGGGGTTTTGATTCCTTGTGCTGTAAAGTTTAACATCTGAATAAATTAAATCTCATCTATTTTTATATTACTTTTCAAAATATTGTGTGCCAATTTTTATATAAGTTCAGTCACGCTTTTCTTATGTAATTATGTCACGCAATGTTTTGTTATTCAAATTATTTTACAAATTGTCTTTTACTGCAATATTGTCAGATTGATATATTGTCGATTTTAGATAACTTGTAATAATAATATTTTCTGAGCCAACATAGAGATTTAATATTCGATTATTTTATTGTGTGAATCAAAACTTGAATTGGTGAACGAAGCATTAGGGATTCTCGACACCTTACCGTTTTCTTCATACAGATTTTCTCTTTTTTATTTTATTTGCAACAAAAATCTCAAAAACTCTCATTTTTCTTTAATTCACTTTTCTTTAACGCTCTTATTCTGTTAGTCTTTCTTGTTATTTTGTTATCTCTCTGTGGATATGACCACCCTTCTGTGCTACAATTGACCACTTGTGAATATCACTTTTGGGCGTTAATCAAATTTTGGCGCCGTTGCCGGGGAGATGCTACTAATAAGATGGATCAGTAGATTTTGAGCCAAAGAGGTTAGTACATTATTATTATTTTTTTTTTTTTTTACTTAATTTCTCTTTCTTGATTTGCATGATCTGTTTCTAGCTCGAATTTGAAAAAAAAAAAAAAAAAAAAAAAAAAAAAAAAAAAAAAAATTTTTTTTTTTCTTTTTTTTTTTTTTTTTTTTTTTTTTTTTTTTGATATTTTTTTTTTTTCAAAAATTTAAAAAAAAAAAAAAAAAAAAAAAAAAAAAAAAAAAAAAAACTTTTGTTGCTCGTGTTTTCATTTGCTGATTTCTTTAGATTAGTTTATTAGTTGTTAAGCTTTTACCTTCTTCCTTTCCTTCATTTTCGTTTTAGGTTTTTAAGTCTGTAGTCCATTAGTTTGTCTTTAATAAAACATATAAAAAATAAAAAAAAAAACTTTTGTACGTGAAAAAAAAAAAAAAAAAGTTGGCTGGAGCCTGTAAATTAACGTGCTTTTATTCAAAGTTGTTGCTTTTTTTTTTTTTTTTTTTTCCGTTCCTTTTTTGAAACCAAAAAAAAAAAAAAAAAAAAAAAAAAATTTCCTTTATCATTTTTTTTTTGTTTCCGTAGTTTTGTTGCTTAAAAAAAAATAACTCACTTTTAGTATTTGTTTTTATTGCTAATTTTAGTTTCCCTTTTTAGTTTTAGAATTAATTGTGATTTGATTTTCTAGTCTTTTATTTTTGGTAAATTAGGATTTTATTTTGTTTCCTCATTTGTATATTTTAATTGTTGCCTAATTTAATTTTTCCTTTTATAGTTTTCATTAATTCTTAGGATTATAATTTAGATTGTAATTAATTGACTAATTTAGATTCCTATCTAAGATTTTCATAATTTGGTAGATTTAGGCTTTTGACTTTAGGAATAGTTTCCATTAATTAGATTACATTTCATAATTTACTCAATAAAATTTAATAATTGATTTTGAGAATGATTGTGTGGTTACGTGGAAGTACAATCTGAGAGAGTTCTGTCTAAGAAAGTTGGTACTTAAGTGGGCCTCGCCCCACCAATCTTTCCTGGGAACGTTGCTCTGTCTAGGAGACTATTCATTGAGCCAAGAGCTATAGTCTTTCCTGGGAGCACTCTCGGTGGTTACAATTTACGTTACTATATAATTATTTTCTTTTTGATTAAAAATAAAAAAAAAAACAAAAACAAAAAAAAAGAGCTGCTTAGGGTGAATGCATCGATATAAAGACGAACTAGGGAGATTTGCTCAACGTCCAAATTTAGAAAACCTTAGTGAAATTCTATCCAACTCATCTTCTTCGTCTCCATCTTCGCACTCGTCGTTGGAATTCGCATTTCAAAATCTATTCGCAATGGCACAACACGAGGAAGTTCAGCAGAGGACGTTGCAAGATTACTTGCACCCAACGCGCATGGCCACCCCATATTGCATCATGTTCCCACCGAATGCACCGCTTACGGATTTCAAGCCGGGTATGATTGCACTTCACCCAACCTTTCACGGGTTAGAGAACGAGAACCCCTATGTACACATCTAGGAGTTTGAAGAGGCGGTGGCCACCTTTCACAAGCGTGCTGAGACCGCAAACACTGTCAGATTGAAGTTTTTCCCTTTCTCTCTGAAGGATAAGGCCAAAAGCTGGTTGTATTCACTTAGGCCCAGGTCTATTGGTACGTGGAAAGAAATGACGACGACATTCTTCAACAAGTATTTCCCACACCATAAGACCAACAATTTGAAACGACAAATCTCAAATTTCACTCAAAAGGAAAACAAAACTCTTTATCAAGCTTGGGAGCGTTTTAAAGATCTGTTAAATCTGTGTCCCTACCATGGATATGAAAGTTGGTGCCTCATAAGCTATTTCTACGATGGACTCACAATCCGAGAGCGTCAATTTGTTGAGATGATGTGCAATGGAGATTTTCTCCAGAAGGATCCTGACGAAGCTATCGAGTACCTGAATGAGTTAGCTGAGAAAGCTCATACCTGGACTAGACCGAGTGCTACTGAGAGCACCAGTAGGTCCCGACCAGTTGGAGTTTATCAATTAAGGGAAGAGGACAACCTCAAGGCCCAAGTTGAAGTTTTAACGAAGCAATTGAGGCCCTCAAAAGTAAAGATAGTAAAGGACCCTACATGGTGGCAAGGACAGAAACACATGAGCCTTGTTTAGTTTGTGGTGGAACGGGCCACCTAACTCAGGATTGCCACACTTTAAGTGAAATGAGAGGGGTATATGAGGAGCAGTGCAATGTATTGGGCACATACAAGAAGCCTTACAGACCTTTCTCAGAATCTTATAATCCTGGTTGGAAAAACCACCCGAACTTTAGTTGGTGAGATTCGAACCAACAAGCACAATCATCTGGAGGGCAATGGAGATCAGAGCAACAATCTCAACCACCAAGGACATATTTTGTGCCTCAGAATAACATGCAGCCGAAAGGGAATTCTCTAGAGGATACCCTAAAAGCTTTTATGGACGCGCAAAATAAGACGAATCAAAGGGTTGATTCAATGCTCACGCAGCTGGTGGAAGAGAACAAGGAAATAAAAAGCCAGATCACAAAGCTGATAGAAGCTTTAACCGTTCAAGAGCGTGGTAGATTTCCATCACAAGCCCAGTCTAATTTGAGAGGAACAAACATGGCTCAAACTTCCAACTCTGAAGGTCAAAATATCAAAGAAGTTAACGTCATCACTACTCGAAGTGGTAAGAATTCAGACACGCCATCAACAAGTACTACCACTTTGAGTAATGAAGAATCGGTTCAGGAGAAAGAAGAGCCAACAAAAACTCTGATAAAGGTGCCTTTCCCTCAGGCTATCCGACCTGCTGGGAAAGTGCCGGAAAACCAAAGTGAGATCCTGGAGCACTTGACACAATTGAAGATCAATCTTCCCTTACTACATGTGATCAAGCAAGTGCCGGCCTACGCCAAGGTTATAAAGGATCTGTGCACTATAAAGAGAAAGCACCATGTCAAGAAGACTGCATTCTTGACAGAACAAGTGAGTGCGGTGATTGAGCAGAAGACACCGCTGAAGTACAAAGATCCTGGTTGTCCCACCATTTCCTGCACCATTGGGACACGCGAATTCAGCCAAGCATTGTTAGACCTAGGATCGAGTGTTAACCTCATGCCTTATTCAGTCTACTCACAATTAGGTCTTGGAGATATTAAGCCCATATCTGTGGTTTTGCAACTGGCCGATCGATCTATTAAGAGACCACGAGGAATAGTGGAAAATGTGTTATTGCAAGTTGATAAGTTCTACTATCCTGTGGATTTTGTTGTTTTGGACACTCAGTCAGTGGTTGATGTGGAGTCAAAAATCCCGATCATCCTTGGAAGACCATTCCTCGCGACAACAAATTCTCTAATTAATTGTAGAAATGGTCTAATGAAGATCTCTTTTGGGAATATGACTCTCAAGGTAAATATTTTCAACATTGTAAAACAACCACAAGGTGATGACGAGTGTCACCAAACATTCCTGATCGACACACTTGTCGAGGAGGAGCTTCTGTTACAAAGCAACTCTGAAGATCTTGAAATTCTCCTCCAAAATTCTAAATCTGAAAGTTCCGGTCCTTGTGAGTTGGCTAACATTTCTGTCATTTTCAATAACTCACAGGACAAAGGAATTATGTTTAAGCAACTGTGTTTGAGGAACTTCCGCAAGGGAGAGAGAAACCAAAGCCTTCCATCGAAGAAACCCTTACAGTGAAACTTGCTCAACTACCTGAAGGATTAAAACATGCATTTTTGGGAGTCGGCGATGCCTTTCCTGTTATCATTTCTTCCAAACTCGATGCATCACAAGAGCGGCGGTTGATCAACATGCTGCAAAAGCATAGATCGGCATTGGGTTGGACGATTGCTGACATTAAAGGGATCAGTCCTTCGATCTGCTCCCATCATATTCATGTGGAAGAAGGAGCTAACCCGCGAAGAGATCCTCAAAGAAGATTGAATCCAACAATGAAAGAAGTGGTGAAGAATGAGGGTCTCAAGCTATTAGATGATAGCATCATTTATCCTGTTGCTAACAGCAAGTGGGTTAGTCCGACCCAGGTAGTGCCAAAGAAATCGGGGGTCACTGTGGTGGAAAAGGAGAAAGGGGCTCTAGTTCCCACAAAGGTCGTGACTGGTTGGCGCATGTGTATTGACTATCGCCAGCTTAACGCCGCCACTCGCAATGACCATTTTCCACTTCCATTCATCGATCAAATCCTAGAACGAGTGGCAGGGGATCCTTTCTATTGCTTTCTCGATGGCTATTCAGGATATTATCAGATAGAGATAGCATTAGAAGATCAGGATAAGACAACATTCACATGTCCTTTTGGCACTTACGCCTTTCGACGAATGCTATTTGGATTGTGTAATGTACCTGCCACATTTCAGAGGTGTATGATGAGCATTTTCAGCGACATGATCAAAAAATGCATGGAAGTGTTCATGGATGATTTGACAGTCTTTGGAGATTCATTCGACACATGTCTTTTCAACTTAGAAGTCGTTCTACAAATATGTGAAGAGAAGGGTCTTGTGCTCAATTGGGAGAAGTGTCATTTCATGGTATCATCTAGCATAGTTCTTGGGCACATTATTTCTGAAAGAGGAATCGAGGTTGACCGCTCTACGGTTGAACTCATTTCCAACCTGCCCACCCCCAAGGCTGTTAAAGATGTCCGATCTTTTCTGGGGGACGCCGGATTCTACAGGAGGTTCATTCAGAATTTTTCATCTATAGCGAGACCGCTAAGCAACCTCCTAGCAAAAGATGTTGTGTTCAACTGGACACAAGAGTGTGAGGATGCATTCCGAACACTCATCGTAAAACTGACTTATGCCCCTATTATGCAGTTACCAGATTGGAGCTTACCTTTCGAGATCATGTGTGACTTAAGTAACTACGCTGTGGGGGGGCGTTCTTGGTCAACGGAGGGAGGGGAAGCCTTTCGTTGACTACTACGCAAGCCGTACTCTGAATAGTGCTCAAATGAACTACTCTACTACTGAAAAAGAGTTGCTTGCTGTAGTATTTGCTTTCGACAAGTTTCGTGCATATCTGATTGGTTCACCTATCACCATCTTCACAGATCATGCCGCCCTTAAGTACATTCTCTCCAAAAAGGATGCTAAGGCGTATTTAATTAGGTGGATCCTTATCCTGTAGGAATTTGACTTGACAATCAAGGACAAGAAGGGAGTCAAAAATGTGGTGGCGGACCACTTATCTCGTATTGAATTTAATGATTCCGCTGAAATTCCTGCTATTAGAGATGACTTCCCCGATGAACATCTCTTCGCCGTCACTAAGATGCCATGGTATGCGAACATTGTTAACTACTTGGTGACGGGTGAGATTCCATCTACCTGGGGTGCACAAGACAAAAGGAAGTTTCTGGTCGAGGTTCGTAACTTTTATTGGGATGACCCCTATCTTTTTAAGTACTGCCCCGACCAGATCATAAGACGATGCATCCCAGATGATGAAGTGTCTAGTGTCCTGAACTTTTGCCACAACGATGCATGTGGCGGTCATTTTTCTATGAAGAAGACCGCCGCGAAAATCTTGCAGTGTGGTCTCTATTGGCCCACTTTATTCAAGGACACCAATGACTTCTGTCGTTCCTGTGATAGGTGCCAAAAGCTAGGTGCTTTGTCCCGTCGCCATATGATGCCCTTGAACCCGATTCTCGTAATGGAAATATTCGATTGCTGGGGGATAGATTTTATGGGACCATTTCCACCTTCTTATGGATTCCTCTACATACTCCTCGCTGTGGATTACGTGTCTAAGTGGGTAGAAGCCGTGGCGTGCCGGAACAACGATAACACTACTGTTGTAAAGTTCTTAAAGGAAAATGTGTTATCTCGATTTGGAACGCCGCGTGCCATCATCAGTGATCAAGGCACCCATTTCTGCAACCGTTCTTTTGAGGCTCTGATGCGTAAGTACGGTGTGGTTCATAAAGTTTCAACTGCCTATCACCCACAGACAAATGGCCAAGCTGAGTTGGCCAATAGGGAGATTAAGCAAATTCTAGAAAAGACGGTTAATCCCAATCGCAAGGATTGGTCTCTGCGCCTTCCGGACGCACTTTGGGTATACCGCACTGCTTACAAAACCCAACTTGGGATGTCTCCCTACAGGCTTCTCTTTGGAAAAGCTTGTCATCTACCTGTAGAGCTCGAACATAAGGCTTATTGGGCTACCAAGGCCCTCAACTTCGATCTCAGCGCTGCAGGTGTCAATCGGAAGCTCCAGCTTTCCGAAATCAAGGAGTTAAGGAACGATGCCTATGATAATTCCAGGATCTACAAGGCAAAAATGAAAGCGGCTCATGATAAGCAGATCCTGAGGAAGAACTTTGAGCCGAATCAGCGGGTTCATCTCTATGATTCCCGTTTGCATCTCCACCCCGGTAAGTTGAGGTCGCGGTGGACTAGCCCGTTCGTAGTGAAATGCGTTTTTCCCAATGGTGCTGTCGAGGTTGAAGACCCAACCGATGGGAGAATTCTTAAAGTAAATGGCCAGCGTCTGAAAAATTACTTAGAGCATGTGGACCAGGTTGAAGAGATCATTCTCGACGACCCCGTTTACCAGCCTTGAGTAGTTTGCTCACATCTCCTGTATCATATTTTCATTTTTTATTTTTCATTTCTCTTTTTACATTTTTATTATGTGTGTGTTTTTGGAGAATCATATCAGGAAGCTCAAGTTGTGCTCATAC